GCACCACTTGAATTTCTTAGCATGGTTAATTTAAGCACAAGTTAGAAGATGCCACATTCTGCTACTCTTTTGCTTGAAAGGTTTGATCGAGTCTGTTTAGAGCATGGACAAAATGCCAAACTGAACCCTAATGAACTTAGAAAGATATAGTATGTTGGCCTAATACTCACAGTTCAATACATGTTACCAAGTCAAAACCAAGCATGCAAGGATCTTTATGGGCAACTGAACCATGATGCAAGGTAACAGTTAGGGATCTTTCAGCTGGTTGCAAATAATCACCAGGAAGAGGAGACAACCTATGCCTACAAAAGTATTAAAAACACAGTGTCACAGAAAGGACCTTAGGACAAGATAAATTGTGCATGCAACTGAACTAGCTAACACCCTACATAGATACCTTGTAAATCTCAAAAAGGTTAACTGTTTTACAGGGATAAACAAAGAATTTCTAATACAAACACTTTTTAGGACTATCTACAATAGGACAGAAAGAGCAGAGGAGTTAATCCAGCAGTTGTTCTTCACGTTTACAAAAATGTCTACTATACTCTCAAGCCACTTGCAAAGCCGCTTGTAAATTCTGATAGTAGCTCAACTCTAGACACATAGTAAGCCTGTCTTAGACAGGCTTTACAGGGTTTTTGGGGAAGTTATTAGGCGAGCATATGAACCTTTTTCCCCCCCCAAATAAAACAGACTGAGAACTAAAATAAATGTGCAAATTTCACTCTGAAATACTGCATCAGACAAAACACACAATAAACATTAGATATAATAAAAGGCTACTTTTCTTCATTCTTGAGAAAGAGCAAGTGATAATGTCAGCATCTAGATCCTACACATTCACTGAAACAGTATTAATCAGCTTCCAAGAGAGAAACTTTGGTGTTCCTCACCAGTCTGACCCATGCTTCAAAGATCACATAAACTTCACATTGTAGAGCCTTCTAAGCCAGACAAAACATTGAGCTAACCTTCCCATTTCTAAAAGATTAACAGGAACGAAGTCCCCACCACGGTGACTAAGAGAGTTACATGTACATTTCAAAGAGATCAGATTTGCATACCACAGTAATGTGGTGTATGAGCATAAACAGATACTACTAATACAGTGTGTCAGTACCTTTACAAACAGTGTATTTCTCAGACATACACATCTTCAGGGCCGTTCCATGACTTGGACCTTTGCTACACTAGGTGATGTTATGGGCATCTACAGCCCAGTAGGCCCCAGACACAGGTGGAACATAACCAAACAACAACAATGGATAGCTCTTCATTTGCCAAGCTGGTACTTCTGCATTTACCTTCATTTTGAAATTCTTGACAAGAAATGATGTAATGTGCCACTAGGTTGAGCCAAACACAAACCTTAAATTAATACAATGCAAGAGCTTACATTTTCTCTTTCATTACACTTGCACAGATATCTAGCCCAGCTAATACTTCAATGCAATTGCAGAATTTCAGCATCCAGAGAAGCGTACAGTCAGCACATCCTAAATCTGCCACCTGTAAATTAGATATTAAACAATGTGTAAATGCTGCATATTTCCAAGCAATTTCAGACTTTCATAAAATAAAAATTCCATATTTATGTCAAAATAACATTTTAATGACAAAATAAAGCATTTCACAATCACAACTAAAATTTACAGTTGCAAGCAGGATAGACATGGATTTGAAAATTCTTTTAAAAAATGTATACGAAGATCCTACAAGATGTTTTAAATGGATTAAACTTTCGTTATTACAGCTCTAAACAAGTACATGTAGAACATCCCATTGACTCTGGAGAATGTCTTCCACATGAAAGCATGTTCCCTCAAATAACTGTAAGGTATGATTTTTAAGCACTAAAGCTGTAGCAATTTTCACATTCACTGCTTTTCGCTGGCCTACTCTCCATCCAAAACACTGAGAATAGGCTCACCAGCAGCCAGGTTAGCAGCAGCAAAGGATCTCCATAAAACAAGTTTACAGGCTCAGTCTAATGTTTAAATGGGGAAGGCTGGGGATATTCAGACCACAAAGTCAAATATATAATAGATATTCTTTCCTGTAAGCTTAAGAGGTAGTGAGTACACAAACCAAACCGTGCTGTTCTTTCTCAGGCTAAGTCAAGGTTGAAGCTCAGTACTCAGTGTGAAAATCCTGAACTGTTTCTTCAGCTTACCTCTACCCTGTGGGTAAACAGAAAGTGTACCCCCTCCCCACTTCACATCCTAAATCAGAAAATTCAAACCTTTAAATACAGACGCAACACTCCTGAATAGTTCTATTTAAAAGCAGATTATAGTGTCATGACCTCATAGACTGGATTAGATTTTTATTAGCTACTAGAAGTGTGATTATGCAAGCACACTGCAGGTGCATTTCTCATCAATTTCTTGCATGCTCCCTAAGACATTAACATCCGTTTCAGAGTTAAACACTGAAGACAGAGGTATTTCTCAACTTTTTACATTTTGGAAGGAGGTGCTGGGACAGAAGACATATTAGAAAAGAGCGAACGCTGCATAACGTTACTTACCTTATTTAACTTTTCAAGATGAGTATCAAAACAAGAGCCCCGGTATGTTGGGGGGGGGGGGGCGGGGATTTTTTTGGGACACGGGACGGGGACAGGAGGGGGTGACAAGACCTTAAGAAAGTGGAGGAGAGTTAGCCTCACATAATCCCACACTCTTAATGTCACTTCTCATCTGAGAACACCCATGTGAATGATGAGGTAAACCTGATACCGTATACAGAACTAACAGCTCTAGAAAGCAAAAACAAACTATGATGAAAGCAACTTGGACCAAAATCCTCAGCATTAAATTAAAACCAGAATGCCACCTACTCTCCAAAACAGGCTAAGGCATTTTTCTTGTTTAGATTTTTCCTTCTTCCCGTCAATCAACACTAATTATATGCACCCCTGAAAAATAAAACCTGATCATCAACTGTCTGCTAAGGCAATTCAGCTTTAACAATAGCTCCTCCACTACTGTTGTTTGGTAATTAGGTCAGCAGGTTATCTAGGCATTTCCTGTCTTCCTAAGATACCTAATGTTAACTTTTTTTCAAATTTATAACTTAAAAAGACAAAACATACCAACCTTCTTAGGTTTGTATTTCCCCACTAAATCCTTAATGAACTGGTAGCGTTGTTTGTACAAAGGAGGTGTAAATTTAATAATTCCTGTAAACTGTTCTTGAAAGTTCTTATCCATAATATTTTGCTAATGCTAAAATAAAAAAGTTAACTCATTTTCTAAAGTACTTGTAACATATCAAATTACAGAGTTTGCTGTTTTCAGTGGTGTTCAATTCGCAATTAAACAGGGATAGACCTGATCCCAGTTCTATTCAGAGAATGACAAAAACATAAGAATTAGTGAAATTAGGCACTAGCTGCTCCCTCCACATATAATGATGTAAATAACCTTTTCATAAACAATTATAAGTCATATACAATCATTTAAAAAAATCAAGTTTCATAATTTGTCACTCTCCAGCCAGCACACCTAGATAGCGTTTACACAACTGCAACATCTCTCCAGCCAGCACACCTAGATAGCGTTTGCACAACTGCAACATATCTAATCTTCCTTAGCTTTTCTGGCAAGCGCAGAAAAATAAATACTTTCTCATCTCTCATCTATCACTTGTTCTATCTTACAATTCAGATGATTTTATATCTGGATTCGTGTATGTATGGCTCCATACAATTTCTACAATGTAACAACTGGCAGGAAATATCTGAATAACTACTATGTTGTGCAAGAGGAAAGGTTGTGCTAGGCCTTAGCTTTATATTTACTATGAGCTAAGCCTTGTTATTGGTGCCTGCATTTTACAGGTAATCTAACATAATTCAACATGGCATTAGAGTCATAACCATCAGTGCATTTCCAACTCTCCCACCTTTTATTAAAAACTACATTTTAGCACACACAAGTATTTAACAAGAAATACCTCCGCTAAACCTAAAAATAAGGCCCTAATGAACGATGAACGAACTCCGCGGGAATCGCCTAAGTGAAGGAACGTGGTCCTGCGCGCACATGGCTTTCCAGAGCCATCCTCCCAGGCGGCAGCTGCAGCCCAGGGCTCACTTAGCAGGTCTAACGGGCACCGGGTCCAACACAACCAAAGCAGCTGGGCCAAGCCTGCTGGCAACTTGACCACCCCATAATGTCTTTTATACGTGAAGTATAAAGACATATCTACACACAAAACCAGGAAACGGGCTCAGCGTTCAGGCCAGTCATCCGCCTCCTCAGGAGCAAAGCGAACCTGTTGGGCTCCCCTCACCAGTAACCGGCTGAGCAGCCAGCCCCCAGGCACCCACCTCCTCATCCCCACACGCTCCCAGCCCGCAGGCTGCGCCCTAGCCCTCCCTAGGCTCCCCAAGGCAGCCCGCGCGGCTGC